GCTGGTGCATTTGCAGGTGTCGGTGCTTGTGCTGGTGCATTCGTCGTTGATTGCTGTTGGGCGGAGTCGCGTTCCGCCGTGAGCGTCGCGATTTCGAGCGCCGAATCTTCGAGTTGGCGCACGATTTTGTTGAGACGCAGGAGCGGACGCGAAAAATTGAGACGTCTACCCCCTCCAAAAATTGAGATAGTGGGGAAGCGAAGGTGTGGGTGCGGTCCGAGAAGAGATCGTAGGCTATGAATACCAAGTGTTACGTATGCAATTGAGCGGACGAGCGAGAATTGCACTATCGAAGAAAAACTACAGTCAGCGAAGGCATGAGCGAGAGCTATATAGTGACGGGCCACAATGGTAACGGTAACGAACTGTGGGAGGTGCACGACGGGCCTGTGATTGAGGTCGGGACTAAGGTCGGGAAATGTCGAAGCGGATGCCCGGAGCGCAGGTTACCAGCCGAGCCATCAGGTTGGGTCACGATGGGTGCAGTGGCGGGAATGTGGTCGAGGCGAATGTTGCGAGTGGTAACGGTGCATAGTGTGGCGGGAATAGTGGTGTACGCGTTAAGCAGGGATGCGGTGTAAGGAAACGGAATTTTCCCCTCACCCGCCGATCGCTGTACCAGCGAAATCACGCTCCCTTTCCCTTTCGCGCCGCTGTGCTTCTCACCGGTACACAAGCTGCGCCACAACTAGCGTTATCGCCCACTGCTGGTCGGCGCGCATTTGTGTGCGTGTTCGGGCCATTGACACAGACCACACATTCCGACCAAGAAGAGGCCGACAGCTGTCACTGCGGCGGCGAGCGCGGCTATGGTTTCGACTGACGCGCATTCCCTCCTGCGCTCGGAGTGCTGGCGTTGCCAGTCAAACGAGGGGATCGATCGCAGGAGAAGGAGGAACGCGGTCAGCACAAAATGCTCAGCGCACACGAAGGAGCAAGTATTAGAAGGCGAGTGGCGAGCTGGTCGAATGCTAGGCGATGTAGAGCTAGCAGGTAAGTCGCAAGGGATTTCGATCAGTGTAAGTCGCAATAGATCTTGATGTGAACAGCTGGCAAAATGCAGGACAGGGCAGCACGTTTGTACATGTGCGACGACGGACTAGGAACGGCCGATGACGGGGAAAACGTTGTCTTTGCGTGAGACGGGGAGGTACTAGGGTTACTAGGCTTTTCCTGCGCCAGTTATCTGTTGGTCGAATAGGTACCAAGTGCTGGTGCTATCCTCTCTATGCGACAGCAAGGCTGCGGGGTGAAGGTGGGTTTCTTCTGTGGTGTTGTTTTGGCTGGTCGCACGCACTTACGAGTCTGCCACATCTGTTATCTAGGTGTGGAATTGTTCCATGCCTGGGGGTTCGTTTGGCGTTTGCCTTGACGAAGAGGGGTTTCGCATCATTTTTCCCAAACTCCTCGTCACAAACTCGCCCCTCGTTACCCAATCACAGGCGCCTTTGCCCAACCAAGTGTATTACCTTTGTAAATATGAGACCCGGGTTTTAAAGCGGCGGTGCACATTCCTAGGGGTGGTTTTGGGTGGTTTTGAGTACACCCTTTGCTGCCTGCTGATTTGTGGGCGAATTGGACAAGGTTTGAAAAAGCCCGGGCGAGGTGTACAACCAAGACTGGTGAAGCCAACCCATTTCGGCCAAGCACTTGGGTGCGATTCTGTCCAATCAGAGGTGTTTTGAAGGTTCATTACGCGGAACGAGCACGCAGCCTTGCGGAACTCCATCCCGGAAAGCGCAAACAACCAAACACAAGGAAAAACAAGTGCCCAGCAATCCGAACACGCGTAGATCCCACCACCCCACTACGACTAAGTCCATGGCAATCGTGGGCTTCATCGCATGTGACTGGGAAGCGGCTCGGCAAGAGCGCGTAGTCAGGGGATAACCGCCGCGTCGTTCTCCCGAACAAGCAGATTTAGAACGCGGCGTAGCAACCTCGCACCACGTGTGCGATCACTTGCCGGTAGTAAGGCGCCGCGACCTCGCCACTTAGAAAGTGTCGCGCCTCTACGCCTTAGTCCAAGGCATAGTGGACTGTGCCCTACGGTATTAGGGGCCCGTCATCGTATGCGACGGCTTAGGCACGGCTAGAGCCCGTAGTCGTCAGGCAACCGGCAATTGACCCTCGCGCTGTGGCTGCAAGAAAGCCGTGATGCATTCTCGCACGACGTCATCCCAAGCTTAGCGGTTTTAGTGCGCCCTCTCCTCTCGCCTCCCCACTGAATGCGCCATCTCGCTCAGTATCACGCCCAGGCCAAGTCAGCCCCAGTGCTGCTTCGTCTCCTCGCTGCCGCCCAATCGCAACCGCGGATCCATCTCCACATCGCGACCACAACATCGATAGGGGCGCAGCGCGATGAAATCGCCAGGGTTCAACCCCGGAGGGTAACGACGCATTGCCGCGGAGGGGAGTACACCGAAACTGCGATATTTCCACACCCCTTATCTTCTCGCATTTTGTCCTGTTCTGGGGCAATCTGACCTCGGGCGGCCAAAAAGCGACCAAGGGGGTGCACGCGCGTCTGAGTCAGCAAGGGGGTATTGACCGATTCACATGGGCGCGAAACACGTTTCCCGTTCTTGTGCATCAACCCACATCGGCACTTCTCGGATCGCCGATGGTTCAATTTCGTCACGTGTCGAAAACGCATTGGCAAAATCAGAACGCCAGAAACGCGTCCACACAAGTAAATGCACGAATTGACCCCAACTGAAGCGCCGATGAATCTGACGTGTAACGCTGGGAAGGAACAAATTCCTCCACATTTCCCTATGAGCAGGTCTCATCGCCAGCACATTGAAATTTCGACAAAAAAACTCATTCGACACCACAGACGGCCATTTCTCTCAAAGTATCAGCACACCTCCTAACAACCTTTCTAGCATAACAGAATGACGAAGTCTAGAAAAAACACAGCTCTAACTCGTGTAGAGAAAGCCGCATTGTGTGAGTTTCGCGTTAGGAACAAGAATATGTCGCACAAGGAGCTGGCGTTTTGGTGCTTCGAGCAGTTTAAAAAACAGCCATGTCGTACCACGGTTTGTAAGATTCTCAAAGATCGCGCCAAACGGACAGCCCCTGCTTTACTCCCAATGGACCGTAAACGCCTCCGCGAGGGCAAGTTCCCCGCCCTTGGGGCCAGGCTGCATGCGTGGGCAGTTAAACACATTGCAGCAAACTTACCGATCACCTTCCACGTCCTACTTAAACAATCTGAGACATTAGCGAAATCGTTGCGTCTTCCAAGCGACTTCAAGGTTTCTCCCGGGTGGTTATGTCGCGCGCTCGCACGAATGGGGATGTCATCGTATCAGAGGAAGGGCGAGGCAAAGGATGCTAATGCGGAATCCATTGGCCTCGCTAGGGAGGCCATTCCGAAGATCCTAAAGGATAATGGCTATGAGGCCGTGGATGTCTATAACATGGACGAGACCTGATTTATTTCTGGTCAACAACCACGACGCACATACGCGAACGAATCCGTGGCGGGAGGTAAGCTAGACAAAGAGCGGTTCACCCTTGCATTATGTTGCACCGCGGACGGCACGGATTTAATGAAACCTATAGTGATCGGAAAAGCGTTGTGCCCCTCCTCTTTCCGGAATGACTTCCACGTGGACGACTACGCTTGGTACCGTGCGAATAGGCGTGCGTGGATGACCTCGGAGGTAAGGATTGGTGTTTTCACCACCAGCACGCGTTCTATGATCAACAACCACTTAATACTTACTATCTTCCCTTATTGTTTACTTTGTATTGTGACTAGATATTCACCCACTGGGTGGACGCGGTGGACGGCGACATGGGATTCAAGGACCGGAAGATTGCGATATTAGTGGACAAGGCAAGCTCACACGCCGTCAACGATATCGAGGGAAAGCGCGAGTATTGGAGGGACGGGATCAAGATTGTCGAACTTCGCAATGTGAGGGTTATTTATCTACCCCCAAATTGCACCTCCCATGTTCAACCATTGGATCAAGGCGTCATCGCAACCTTGAAGTTGCGATAACCGGAAGATTTTGGTCACGTGGTTGCTTGATGTATTTAAGCGCACGCGTGACCAAGCGGCCCGTAAGACGATTCGGCCAGATTTGCGGCTCGCCATTACGTGGATATGTGGAGTTTGGAGTACTATGGGTCGAGAGATCGTAAGGCGGTGTTGGCGACGGTCCTTCAAGGGATCCCGAAGCGGCCGACATTACAACTCTGGATGTTTTAATGAAAGGCTGAAGATCGACGACCCTTTAATGACCGCACGGGGGTTCGTTGGTTGTGACGACCACGTTGCCACTTCTATACGCTTAGTCAACGACTCGGAATGGGTGGGTCAGAGTTGGTGGGTTGGTCTACCCGGTAATCGTGGTGTTCCATTCGATCTGAATGATGCACCCCCCTCTGAGGCATGCATGGCAGATGCAAATGCAGCCGCCGCCACAACGGCGTTGCGTGGATACACCGAGGATTCATCCATGGCAAGGTATGTTCGTCCCGCTGTGGATCGCACCGCCGGTACCTACAACTTTATGGATCTTCTTTCAGATGATAACATGGCGTTCGCGTACGCTGGTCTGAATAGGTAGTGCTCCTTATACCTTGTACATCAAAACGGTGGCTGTAGGAATAAATGGAGGCACCTGTTTCCTTTTTCTGGTTTTGCCTTGATGAGACTCGAATTTATCAACTTGTATAGTTGATGCTTTTATGTTGTACATTTTGTTTCCAACCTGTTCTTTAACCACGGCTGTTTTGGTTTCTAATTACCACTGTTCCTCGGAGTCACGCGCTGCTGTGTCAGCATGGCGTTGTCACTTTCCATGCGCGCTGACTCAGCGCGTGTGAAATTGAGCGAAAACAATTTCCTACTGCTAACTTCACACACCCCAGACAGGACAAACCTTCGTGCGCGAATTTCAGGGTGTGAAAATATCGGAGAACAGGTGTACATCGCGGCCACATCGCGAGCACTCCGCGACGCCGCTTCAACGCCGCCAATGTCGCGAGCTCACCACGTCGCCGCCTCTTCGCCACCTCTTCGCCGCAACATCGCGTGGGATCCGCGGCACAAGTCGTCCTCCTTGCCGCCACGAAGTCGCATCGCCAGCACATCGCCGCCTCGCCTCCTCAACGGCGTGCCGCTGCCAGTTCCCGGCCTTATGCATCGCCTTCGTTTCCCCGCTACACGGGCTCCGGCAGCTCCCTCCATGCCCTCTATTTGACATGTCCCATCCCTGGACTTTACTTCATGCCCTCTCCCGCAGGCAGAGACTCCTCCCTTCCCCATATCCCATTGTCGTGTCCCCATTGCAGTGCGCCTTCCCCTCTCCCTATGCTTGTGTTCGCCACTCTTCCGCAGGTCGCGTCGCGCCTCCTCCTCCTTCGGGACGTGCACTACCCCGCGCAGAGAGGTGCAATTTCCCGGGTCTCAGGTGTTCCATACCCTGCGCCAGGTGGTCAAAGCATGTGCAACAGGTGCTTTACCATGGTGCTCGGGGGACATGCGCCCCAAATGCACCCTCTCTCATCCCCTCCTCCACCCTCTCATCCCCCCCTCCACCCTCTCATCCCCCCTCCACCCTCTCATCCCCTCCTCCCCACTCTCGTCCCCTCCTTCCTTCTCCCATCGCTCCTCCACTCCCCTCCTCCTATCGCTCCTCCACTCCTTCCATCTCGAATTCCTTCCTCCCCTCTCTCATCCTCTCCTCCCCTCTCTCATCCCCTCCTCCCCTCTCTCATCCCCTCCTCCCCTACTCGCTCTCTCATCCCATCCTCCCTCCTCTCTCACCCGGTCCTTCCTTCTCTCAAGGAAGCCTCCTCCCATCGCCCCTCCACTCCTTGCATCTCTCATCCCGTGCTCCCCGCTCTCAAGCCTTCCTCCCCGGAAACAATCCCCTCCTCCCCTCTCTCATCCCCTCCTCCCCTCTCTCATCCCCTCCCTCCATCTCTCATCCCCGCCTCCCCATCACTCCTCCCCTCCTGCCCTCTCTCATCCCCTCTCCTATCTCGTCCTCCCCTCTCTCATCACGTCCTCCCATCCCTCATCCCGTCCTCCCATCCCTCATCCCGTCCATCCTCTCTCATCCCCTCCTCCCATCGCTCCTCCACTCCTTCCATCTCTGATCCCGTCCTCCCCTCTCCCAAGCCTTCCTCCCCGGTCCCATCCCCTCCTCCCCCCTCTCATCCCCTACTCCCCTCTCTCATCCCCTACTCCCCTCTCTCATCCCCTACTCCCCTCTCTCATCCCCTCCTTCCCTCTCTCATCCCCTCCTCCCCTCTCTCATCCCCTACTCCCCCCTCTCATCCCCTCCTCCCCTCTCTCATCCCCTCCTCCCCTCTCTCACCCCCTCCTCCCCTCTCTCATCTCCTCCTCCCCTCGCTCATCCCCTCCTCCCCTCTCTCATCCCCTCCTCCCCTCTCTCACCCCCTCCTCCCCTCTCTCATCCCCTCCTCCCCTCTCTCATCCCCTCCTCCCCTCGCTCATCCCCTCCTCCCCTTCTCATCCCCTCCTCCCCTCTCTCATCCCCTCCTCCCCTCTCTCATCCCCTCCTTCCCTCCCTCATCCCCTCCTCCCCTCTCTCATCCCCTCCTCCCCTCTCTCATCCCCTCCTCCCCTCTCTCATCCCCTCCTCCCCTCTCTCATCCCGTCATGTCGCACCGCGTCATGAGGAACGGCCATCTGAAAGCCAATGAGCAGGATGCCGGGAAGTTGAGAAGCAGGAGCGTGGGTGGTGCAAACAACAGGAGGGCAGAAACCAGGTGAGTGGGGGGGGAGAGCACCCCTGCAAAGGGTAAGGAAAGATGCAAGATGTGTTCATTTCGTCTTGCGCGGGCTGCATGTCACTTCTGCGATGCCACTCAATTGACCAATTTCCACAAAGTGGGCAATCCACCTGTTGTGTCTCACAACACACCCCTATCTCCTCTCATTACCCCCCTCTCATTACTACTCCGGATCCTCCCCTTGCCCCGCTACCAGCCACCCCCTCGTAACAGCGACGGGTGAAACACTGACTCTCCATCGATCCCTTGCTCCCCTCGTTCCCCCATGTCCCCACTACCTTCCCCTCTTTCCCCCCCTTCAACCCTATCATTCCCTATCCTCCTTCCCCATCTTTCACCCTCCTTTTTAACCCCTGCCTCTCATCTTAGACCCCGCTTGGACACCCACTTTTCTCAACCCAACTCAAATGGTTCCCCTTTCTGCCCCCTCTCTTCCCCCCGCTCCCCTTCTTTCGTATTTATCCGCCCCTGGTTCCCCTATTTTTCCGCCTTGTTTCCCCCCTTTATCCGCCTCTTTGCCCTCTCTGGTTCAGGTGTAACAAAAACTGCTCCCACCCATTTCCCCTCCTACTTCCCCTCCTGTCGCCACCTACTTGCCTTCACTGTCCCCTTCCTCCCTTCGTGTTCCCCCGCCCCCAGTATGCAAGCACCTCCGAGTACATGGTGCAGATCACGGAGCTCACAGCCATCAGCACCTCCCCTCATTCATCACCCCCTCTCATCCTTTCCTCCCATCTCTCTTCTCTCCCTCTTTTCTCCAATCCTCTCCCCCACTAGGCTCCTCTCTCCCCCCCGTCCCCCTCTCACTATGTCCTCATCTTTCACCCGGTCCTCCTCTCTCCTCCCTGCCGTCCCTTCTCCCTTCTCTTCCCCTCCTGTCCCCCCCTCCGTTCCCTTATTTCCCCTCTCGCAGCCTATTTCCAACAATTGCAAGGTTGCCACTCACACCACATTTTCCCAAGATGTATCACCCTTGCACACTTCAGGAATGTGTCACAAGAAAATGTGTGAGAAGTGTGTCACCCTTCCCAAGAAAATGTGTCACACACACTGTGGTGCTCACACCTGCCGCTCACACATTTTCCGAGGAGTGTGACACGCTTCAGGACCTTCAAGACCTTCATGACTAAGCCAGCTCACACCACTTTTTCCCAAGGTGTTACATCTGGGTGTCCTCGACGGTGGCAGCAGGCCGAGGAGCCGGCGGAGGCTTCCCGTTGAGGTTGAGGGGGGGACTTGCGCACTCCATCTGATCAACGATGATCGGATTGCGAATCCCTCGTTCCATTTCCTCTGTCCCCCCGTGTCTCGATTTTCAGAAAATGTTTAGCCCTCCATAATACCCCTTGCGTGCCTTCATTTCACCCGCTGCTACCCCTCTCTCCCCCCCCTGCTACCCCTCTCTCCCCCCCCTGCTACCCCTCTCTTCCCCCCCTGCTACCCATTTCCCTCCCATAACACCTGCTTTCATTCTTTTTCCCCTTCTTGCCACCCTTCTTCCCTCGTTTCTTGCTAAGCCAGGCTTTGTCCTGCTTGTAGCTGCGAGCATCCCCTCTCCTTCCCGCCTCCATTCCCCCTCTTTCCTCCGAAACACCCCATCCTTCACTGTCCCTCCCCATCTCACCTCCCCGTCCCACTTCCTTCCTTTCTTCCGCACTCCTCCTGCCATTCTCACTCTTGCACTCCTCACTGCCATCCCTCCCTTCCGCAAATCCTGTCTCCAAGCCCCCCTCGATTCTCTTGTCGTCACCTCCCAAGCAAAAGCGGCATTGCCATGGGAAATTTCAACATGCATCTCCCACCTGCCCCCACCTACTCCCATCTCACCTCCCTTCCCCCCCCCTACCATGGGATCCCAGCCCACCGCTGCTCCCCATACCACCTACTCCCATAATTGCTCCCCTCCCCCTACCACATACAACATACTCCCATAATTGCTCCCCTCCCCCTACCACATACAACATACTCCCATCTCACCTCCCATTCCCCTACCACCTACTCCCTTCTCATCTCCCCTCCCCGTACCACCTCTCCTTCCCCTATCAGGCACTCCCCTCCCCTCCCCTACCCATTTTTTCCCCCTCCCCTACCAAGGGCGTTCTGCTCACACCCTGCCCCTCATGGAAACCCACGATCCTATTCTCCCATGTTTGGTCCCCCAGCATTCCCTTGCGCGGTTTCTGTGCTTGTGTTGCAGGTGGAGAGCCTTCCTGACTGGACATCCTACTATCTGCGCCTCACAAGGCACATAAGAGCCAGCAACCTGGGCATGGATAGGCAGCGATGGCAATGGGAATGGCAGGGGAGCGTGGCAACGGCCATGAGGGAAGCAGATTCAAGCCTCTTGGTCACTAGGCCCGTGCTTATATGGTCCAAAAAATTAGCACATAAAGTGCCCCTCTCACATCCCCTTTTAGGCATTTCTTACTGACCCAACATATCGTGCCATCAAACGCATGTTTCAGTGTTTTTAAGCGGGTTATTGCCTGCGGTGTTTTGTGACATCGTTGCAGGTTGCTTACAGCACCAGTTTTTTAGTATGTACGCTACTATAACACAGTATGTAATCAATGCAGTTTGGTTACAAGTAAAAGCAGAGGCAATCCATGCATACTAACGTAGCAATGTAGGCGATGCGGGAAATGTGACGGTGCTGGCAGGCGATGGGGAGGATAGCTGAGCGAGGAAAGGGTGCACGCAGCAGGTCGCCTTTCCAGGACACCACAAGCTTTTGGGGCTGCCAGGCGGACCAGTCATTGGAGGTCCACTTCAGCAGCACCACATTCATTTCTGCATATCAAATCTGCCCGTTGCTGTCCGTCCACAGCGTCCCAAACCTGCAGGAGGCATGGGGAGAGAAGGGATGCGTAGAGGATGGATGGGGAGAGAAAGGGAAGAGAGGCAGAGATGGGGTGAGACAGAGATGGGGTGAGACAGAGATGGGGTGAGACAGAGATGGGGTGAGACAGAGATGGGGTGAGACAGAGATGGGGTGAGGCAGAGATGGGATGAGGCAGAGATGGGATGAGGCAGAGATGGGATGAGGCAGAGATGGGATGAGGCAGAGATGGGATGAGACAGAGATGGGATTAGGCAGAGATGGGATGAGGTGGAGATGGGATGAGACAGAGATGGGATGAGGTGGAGATGGGATGAGGTGGAGATGGGATGAGGTGGAGATGGGATGAGGTGGAGATGGGATGAGGCAGAGATGGGATGAGGCAGAGATGGGGTGAGGCAGAGATGGGATGAGGCAGAGATGGGGTGAGGCAGAGATGGGATGAGGCAGAGATGGGATGAGGCAGATATGGGATGAGGCGGAGATGGGGCGAGCAGCGTGCTGGTAGTACAGTACTGGAGGTGGAAAGTGGAAACTGTGGGTAGGGGGAGGGAGGGTAAGCAAGGGAAGGGAGCATAAGCTGGGGATGCAGGGGGGGAAAGGAGGGGAAGCACGGGGGGAAAAGGAGGTGAAGCAGGGGGGAAAGGAGGTGAAGCAGGTGGGAGAGGAGGTGAAGCAGGGGGGAAAGGAGGTGAAGCAGGGGGGAGAGGAGGTGAAGCAGGGGGGAAAAGGTGGGGAAGCAGGGGGGAAAGGAGGTGAAGCAGGGGGGAAAGGAGGTGAAGCAGGGGGGAAAGGAGGTGAAGCAGGGGGGAGAGGAGGTGAAGCAGGGGGGAGAGGAGGTGAAGCAGGGGGGAGAGGAGGTGAAGCAGGGGGGAGAGGAGGTGAAGCAGGGGGGAAAAGGTGGGGAAGCAGGGAGAAAAAGTAGGGGATGCAGGGGGGGAAAGAAGGGGAAACATGGGGGGAAAGGAGGGAATGCAAGGAGGGGAAGCAGTTTTCAAATGGAGGAGGGGATGCTGGGGGACAAAGGAGGGGGCGAAAGGGGGAAAAGGAGGGGCAGGGGCGGAAAGAAGGGGAAAAAGGGGGGGAAAGGAGGGGAAGCAAGGGAACGGAGGAGGGGATGCAGGCCCTGCAGGGGCGGAAAGGAGGGGATGCTAGGGGGGAAAGGAGCGGCCAGGGGGAAAGGAGGGGAAACACGGGGGGGAAAGGAGGGGAAACACGGGGGAAAAATCAGGGGATGGAGGGGGAGAAGGAGGGGAAGCAAGGGGGGAAAGGGGTGGATGCATGGGGAGAAAGGAAGGGACGCAGGGGGGGAAAAGAGGGGAAGTAGGGGGGAAAAGCAGGGGAAGCAAAAGGGGAAAACAAGGGGACGTAGGGGGGGATTTGGGGGAAGGGAGGGCGCAGGGGGTAAACTCATGGCATTTCTCTGGCGCGCACGTGTCTGGAACCGTGTGCTGTTTGCTGGCGCGCGAGCGTCACAGGCGCTCGATGTGCTGGCGGCGTCGCTAAGAAGGCGCATGCCGCTTTGCTGCGCGCCTTTCGCTGGCGCGCGCTGCTATGCTGAGCGCGCCTGACGCGCGCTGTGCTGGCGCGTGGGGAATGCCAGCATAGCTGGCGCAAGTTCCGCGCGCGAAACGTCAGCATAGCTGGCGCAAGTTCAAACGCCAGCATAGCTGGCGCAAGTTCCGCGCGCGGAACGCCATCATAGCTGGCGCCAGTTTCGCGCGCGAAACGCCATCATAGCTGGCGCCAGTTCCGCGCGCGAAACGCTAGCATAGCTCCCGCAAGTAACAACAGTACGGTCAAATGTATACTCCTGGAGGGACCCTGTGTGACGGACGTTGGCGTCGCGTGCCCGACGGGAGGGGAGTGTGCGTGGGCGAAAGAGGGGAGTGCGTGGGGGCGGACGCGGGGAGTGAGCGTGGGGTAAAGCGGGGAGTGCACGGGGGCGGACGAGGGGAGGGTGCGCGGGCGTAAGAGGGGACTGCGCTGGGGCGACGGGAGGAAGTGGGCGTGGGAGACGGATGGATCCGCACCTGTGCGATGGACAGTGCAAGAAGGCGACGGTAGGGGAGTCATCGTGGAACAAGGCTGTGTGTGAGCGCGGACAACAGACAGGGGTGAGCGATGGCGACGGAGGGGAGTGTGATGGTGCGATGGCCGATGGGAGAGGAGTGTACGCGGACGACGGCGGGGAGTGTGCGAAGGCGACGGGAGAGAATGTCGCGTGGTGGACGGACCTGCTTCGCGCCGAGGTGGTTGCGTCGTGGGGGGCGGCTGAGGTCTCCGATTTCGCTGTTCCTAAGGCGCATGTGCGCGGCAGTCCCTACGCCTGTTCGTGCAAGGTGCGGTCTGCGAGCGCCGTCGCGGAGAAGAATGGCGCAATGCGATGTACGTCTCGCGGAAGCGCCTAGGTGCGAGCGAGGTGAACCCTGGGCGGGCGCGATGATTGCTATGGGCAGGCGCGGTCGCGGCGTTATGACGAGATAAACTGTGCTATTTATGCTGTCTAGTCTTTTGCGCTAACAACCATGTGATAATCGTATGCTCCAGGGAGTATGTGTGCTGTGGTTCACCTGCGCTCTGGTTCACAAACCTGTGGGGCGTGTCTCAAGTTCCCAACTCCCAGGGGGGTTGTCGCAACTGGCGACGGGGGAGACACAGCTGGCGCAAGTCCGCCAGCACTGAACTCTGGTTCGCGTTGGACCCCAAAGCACAAACAGGGTAACCACGCAAGGCAAGTAATAAGGGCGTGTGTGGTCTCTCCAAAAGTTCAAAAAAAGTGCGAACTTTGTGTAATTACCTTTTTCGCAAAATTCGCCAACAAATCTTAGCGAAATGACGAAGCTATCGGGATTTCAAAGATTCGAGCTGCAAATCTGAACTTGACTCGAGATTTTAGTAGAGAACGTGCGCGCGCACTTTCGGGCAAGCGTGTGTGATTTTCAGCAAGTGCGAGGAGCTGGCGAAACGGGCGGCAGCTTCGCGAAGCTGAAAATTTCAAAACGAAATCAGCCAACGATTAGCGCACTCGTCGGTTGCCACGTGGCAACATCTTTGGCATGTTGGTGAGTACCAGGTAACCTACTTTAGAGTCGATTTTACCGGGTAACCTATTTTTTTTTACGCGCGACTCGGCGCGCTATTTAGAAGGTCGAATGTCGGGGTTCGACCTTGTATGTTTGTGTGCTTTTGCTGTGTTGTAGTCCAGATGTTCGAACCCCAAAACAAGGAAAGTCGAATTTGATTCGACTTAAGTTCGTTTCGCACAACTCGCCCTAAAAACGTAAACTTTCACGATTTTCAAGGACCACACACGCCCTAAACTTTGGGTCCATCCCCCCCAAAGTGGCCCCTTGCTGCGTAGATACGGTTCAGAAATCACGAGATTCTCGAAGTCCTGTGGTGAGCGCAGCGATTATCCGCGGGCTGTTTTGCCTTCGTCTAGCCGGCGTTGCCCTAGAAGTTGGCTGTAGACCCTTGTCCGCCGCCTCCTTTTAAGTTCATTGCATGGCCGCAGCGCTCGCGTATCGCGCCATTCACGCCGCGTCACCTCTTCGATCGCCAACGGGTCTTGCGTGCCTAAAAGCCAGACCGCCAACGCAGACCCACGCGCCGAACCGCGCATCTCCGCTGGTGCTCCTACGACAGTCCGAGGCGCCTCAAACGTTGCGCCACTATCGCGCGCCTCGACTTACCCATCAAATCGTCGCATCTCCCGCGCTCCCCGCTCAACTCGCCGCCCCTCCCGCGCGTTCGCACAGGCGAATCTTTCTCGTGCGAGCGATGGCGACTGCGACGAATGCGAGTGCGACGGATGCGACTGCTGGCGACGCTCCAGCGAAAGTGAGCCTCTGAAGTGCCTATTGGTGGTTGTATTAAGGACGCGCATTAGAAAACGAGTATCAATAGGGGGAGGAGTCTCAACATACCTCGTCTCAGTGGGGATACACTTTTCAATATCTTTTTTGGGGCGCCTCAGAAACGAGTCTCAACAACCCTTATAAGTGGGGATCACAAACTCCTCGAGATTGTCTCTCTCCTCGCGGGATCACCTCGAATCGCCACGCGAATCCCGCTGAATCCCGCGAATTGAATCGAATCTTCTCACGGATCCCGCCAGATTCCGCTGACTGCCAATCATATCTCATCTTGCTGCGGGAGGTGGCTTGAACAGGCCAAGATAAGATATGATCCGCCTCCCTCTTTCCTGGCCAAGATAAGTTATGATCCGCCTCCCTCTTCCCTGGCCAAGATAAGATATGATCCGCCTCCCTCTTTCCTGGCCAAGATAAGATATGATCCGCCTCCCTCTTTCCTGGCCAAGATAAGATATGATCCGCCTCCCTCTTTCCTGGCCAAGATAAGATATGATCCGCCTCCCTCTTTCCTGGCCAATATAAGATATGATCCGCCTCCCTCTTTCCTGGCCAAGATAAGATATGATCCGCCTCCCTCTTTCCTGGCCAAGATAAGATATGATCCGCCTCCCTCTTTCCTGGCCAAGCACCTGGCTTGGCAATCGCCTCCCTCTTTCCCGCGCGTCCCCTGAACCCGGCAATGCGCGTTCGCACTTCAAGGTCGCGCAGTGCCACCTGGCAGTGCCTGCTGACAACTGAAGCTCACAGGGACCTCCTGCTTCCACCCACCCACCCACCCACCCCTCCCTGCCAGTTCAAGATCGCGCTGTGCCAGCTTGCGGTGGGTGCTGACAAGGCGCGCAACATCGCGCACGCGAGGGACATGATTGGTCGCGCCGCGGACCAGGGCGCACAGCTGGTGCTGCTGCCGGTATGGGAAGGGGGGAGGGGGAGTGAGGACGGGGAAGGAAAGAAAAGGGGGGGACAGGAGAGAGCGTGTGACACAATCAGCCGCGCCGCGGACCAGGGCGCACAGCTGGTGCTGCTGCCGGTATGGGGGGGAAGGGGAAGGGGAGCGAGGGGGAGGGAGGGCGGAAAGGGGAAGGGAGGGTGGGAGGGAGGAGAGGGCGCGTGACATGATTGGTTGCACCGCGGACCAGGGCGCACAGCTGGTGCTGCTGCCGGTATGGGGGGGGAGAAAGATGGGAGAGGGAGGATGGGCTGCGGAGAGTGGGAGTGTAGTAGTGTGCGAGTGTATTAGTGTGTGAGTGTATTAGTGTGTGAGCGAACTAGTGTGCGAGTGAACTAGTGTGTGAGTGAACTAGTGTGCGAGTGAACTAGTGTGGGAGCGAACTAGTGTGTGAGTGAACTAGTGTGTGAGTGAACTAGCGTGCGAGTGAACTAGTGTGTGAGCGAACTAGTGTGTGAGTGAACTAGTGTGGGAGTGAACTAGTGTGTGAGTGAACTAGTGTGCGAGCGAACTAGTGTGCGAGTGAACTAGTGTGCGAGTGAACTAGTGTGCGAGTGAACTAGTGTGCGAGTGAACTAGGCAACAGCTCCCCGTTCCTCCCCGTTCTGATCCGGTTCCTCCCTGTTCCGTCCCACTTCCCTTAACTTCAATTCGGTCCCCTTGATCCCCCCACATTCTCACATGCCCTCCCATTCCCCTCATTCCAACTCATGCCCTCCCATTCCCCTCATTCCAACTCATGCCCTCCCATTCCCCTCATTCCAACTCATGCCCTCCCATTCCCCTCATTCCAACTCATGCCCTCCCATTCCCCTCATTCCAACTCATGCCCTCCCATTCCCCTCATTCCAACTCATGCCCTCCCATTCCCCTCATTCCAACTCATGCCCTCCCATTCCCCTCATTCCAACTCATGCCCTCCCATTCCCCTCATTCCAACTCATGCCCTCCCATTCCCCTCATTCCAACTCATGCCCTCCCATTCCCCTCATTCCAACTCATGCCCTCCCATTCCCCTCATTCCAACTCATGCCCTCCCATTCCCCTCATTCCAACTCATGCCCTCCCATTCCCCTCATTCCAACTCATGCCCTCCCATTCCCCTCATTCCAACTCATGCCCTCCCATTCCCCTCATTCCAACTCATGCCCTCCCATTCCCCTCATTCCAACTCATGCCCTCCCATTCCCCTCATTCCAACTCATGCCCTCCCATTCCCCTCATTCCAACTCATGCCCTCCCATTCCCCTCATTCCAACTCATGCCCTCCCATTCCCCTCATTCCAACTCATGCCCTCCCATTCCCCTCATTCCAACTCATGCCCTCCCATTCCCCTCATTCCAACTCATGCCCTCCCATTCCCCTCATTCCAACTCATGCCCTCCCATTCCCCTCATTCCAACTCATGCCCTCCCATTCCCCTCATTCCAACTCATGCCCTCCCATTCCCCTCATTCCAACTCATGCCTTCCCATTCCCCTCATTCCAACTCATGCCCTCCCATTCCCCTCATTCCAACTCATGCCCTCCCATTCCCCTCATTCCAACTCATGCCCTCCCATTCCCCTCATTCCAACTCATGCCCTCCCATTCCCCTCATTCCCCCCTTTTCCTGCTTCTCTATCCTTCTCCCCCATCCCCTCCCCTCCACTCACTCCCCCCTTCCCCCACCCCCTTCCCCCCTCCCACCTCGCCCCTCCCCCCACCCCCGCATTGCCACCTCATTTCCAGGAAGTGTGGAACTGCCCTTATTCCAACAACAACTACTACTTCCCCCCACTCATCTCTTGCGCCCTTCCTTCCCCCATTCCGCTTCCCGCTCCCCTCATCGTTGCTTCATTTCCAGGAAATGTGGAACTGCCCTTATTCCAACGACAACTTTCCCACTTACGCGGAGGAAATTTCCCCGGAAGATTCCTTCGCCTCCTCTCCCTCCGCTGCGATGCTCGCTGACGTGGCGGGGCAGCGGGGCGTGACTATAGTGGGGGGTTCTATTCCCGAGAGGAGGGAGGGGCGGCTTTACAACACGTGCCTTGTGTTCGGCAGCAAGGGAGAGCTGAAGGGGCGGTTTAGCAAGGTGAGAGGGGAATGGGAATTTCACTGAAGGCAGCATGTGCCTATGGCAGTGTGCCCTGTATTGTTCTGGACCGGAGAGGAGGGAGGGGCGGCTATATAACACATGCTGTGTGTTTGGCAGCAAGGGGGAATCGAAGGGGCGGTTCAGCAAGGTGAGAGGGGTTGCAATATGAGTTTGGAGTGGTGGAAGACAGATGTGACTGGTGTGGGGGGTTCTATTCCCGAGCAGAGGGAGGGGCGGCTGTACAACACGTGCCTTGTGTTTGGCAGCAAGGGAGAGCTGAGGGGTGTGACTGTAGTGGGGGTTCGTGTTTCTGAAAGGAGGGAGTGAGAGGGGACGATCACAGTTAAGGAGTCCCACACGCCCACACCCTCCCCCTGTTCCCCCCCTTTACCCCGCCCCCCCCTCTCCCCTTCCCCCCTCCCCCCCCCGTGTTCCCCCCCCCACCCCCTCTCTCCCCCCAATCAGCTGCACCTATTTGACATTGACATCCCGGGGAAGATCACATTCAAGGAGTCTGACACGCTCACTCGTGGCGAGCAGCCATTGGTCGTCGACACAGGTGTGTGTGTGTGTGTGTGTGTCCGTTTGGCTGCCCTTCTCCTTTCAATCTCCGGCCGGCAAGCTATGATGCGCAAAAGAATTCTCAGAACGAGGTGACTTTTGAGTCGACTCAAAAGTCACCTTGGCAAGTTATGATGCTCCAAAGAATGCTCAGAACCCGTGTTTATTTATTGCTGCCCTCGCCGTTGTGTGACACCGGTCGTTTATTAGTGTCCTGTGCATCACAGTTCCTCACTCTTGTCCTCCCCCAGTCTCTGTTTCTCTCTTCCCCCTAATTCCTCCACTCCCCCTCTCTTGATTGATTCGTGGCATGTGCGGCAATCTTCTGTTGCCAACGCATCTCAATGCCCCCGCCCCGCGCTCTTCCCTCCGTTCCCCAGCCAACGCATCCCCCACTCCCTCCCTCCCCCAGACGTGGCTCGAGTGACAGTGGGGATTTTGCAGAATGCTTCATCGCATCCCTCCACTCGAGCGACGAATTTCAAGACAAGTGTTTTGAGACGTTTCAAAACACTTTTTTATCACGTGCTCCACATCCCTCCATCCACTCGACCCACGTGCCCCACTCGGGAAATTACCCGGAGCCAAGTGTCCAAGTGCATAGTGGAGTAGCAGCAAACCAGGAGCTCGTTTTGGCTTTTGAGGCGCCTTAAAAGTGGAGTAGCAGCAAACCTGGAGCTCGTTTTGGCTTTTGAGGCGCCTTAAAAGTGGAGTAGCTGCAAACCTGGATCTCGTTTTGGCTTTTGAGGCGCCTCAAAAGTGGAGTAGCAGCAAACCTGGAGCTCGTTTTGAGGCGCCTCAAAACGAGTGCTCCACTCGGGAAATCTCCCGGAGCCACGTACCCGAATTCATACTGCAGTAGCTGCACTTTTGACGCGCCTTTTGTGAAGTAGCTGCACTTTTGACGCGCCTTTTGTGAAGTAGCTGCACTTTTGACGCGCCTTTTGTGGCGCCTTTTGTGGCGCCTTTTGTGGCGCCTTCTGAGGCGCCTCAAAAACCCAAATTCATAGTGAAGTAGCAGCAGCACTTTTGAGGCGCCTCAAGAGCCGGAGCCAAGTGTCCAACCTGGAGTAGCAGCCAACCTGGAGAGCATAGTGGAGTAGCAGCCAACCTGGAGAGCATAGTGGAGTAGCAGCCAACCTGGAGCTCGCGCCAGCCAACCTGGAGCTCCAGACATCCCAATCGAGTCGTCAGACCTCTCAATAATTACCTCGACGGAACCCCCTGTTCGCTGCACCCCCCACCACTCCCCCAGGCGTGGCACGAGTGGCGGAAGGCATTCGCTACGACATTCCAATTCCTTCCGCCCTTCTCCCCACCGCATCCCCCTTTCCGCCCTTCTCCCCACCGCATCCCCCTTTCCGCCCTGCCCGCCCCTCCTCTCCCCAGTTTTTGAGTCGACTCAAATACAGGCCCATTCTTCCCTCCCCCAGACGTCGCACGAGTGCCGGAGGAGGGCATTTGCTACGACGTTCCAAGTTCCTCCGCCCTTCGCACCCCACCTTCAACATCTCCCCCCCCTCCCTTGCTTAACCACCCTCTCCCATCGTCAGACGTGGCACGAGTGGCAGTGGGCATATGCTACGACATTCGCTTCCCTGAGCTCGCAATGCTCTACGCTGCTCGAGGTGCGTTGCTGATTCTATGCTTGGGGGGGGGGGGGGCTCGCTTCTATGCCCGGGGGTAGCTAGCTGCTATGCTTCGGGGGGCTCTCTTGGTTCTCCCCGCTGGGGTGGGGATCTGTTACGACATCCGTTTCCCTGAGCTCGCAATGCTCTACGCTGCTCGAGGTATGTTGTTGTTGGGGGGGGGGGGGCACGAAGCTATCCTCGTGGCGTCGATCTTGTTTTCTACAGGAATGCGGCCTGTGTTTCCAGAGATTGATGCAGGTGTGCAGCTCAGGTGCACAGCAGCTCAGGTGCACAGCAGCTCATCTGCTACCCAGGTTCCTTCAACATGACCACTTTCTCCTTCTCCCTCGTTGTCCTCTCTCTTTGCCCTTCTCTCTCTCTCTGTCCTTCGCTATCTTTTCCCTTCTCTCTCGTTTCCCTTTCCTCTCGTTCCCTTCACCCCTCTCTCCTCTGTCCACATGTACCTCCCACATCAGGTGCACAAATCATTTGCTACCCCGGTGCTTTCAACATGACCACTGGACCGCTGCACTGGCAGCTGCTGCAGCAGGCCAGGTAGGGATTGATTGGGTGGGTGGGTGGGTGGGTGGGTGGGTGGGTGGGTGGGTGGGGGGGTGGGTGGGTGGGTGGGTGGGGGGGTGCGCTCAAGCATGTAGAGTCTGACTCTAGACGTTCGGGGTGGTAGCTTGGAGCACTCAACATTTGCACTGAGTCGCTGCACTGGTAGCTACTGCAGCAAGCTAGGCGGGTGTCAGCAGCAGCAGCAGCAGCTGCTGCATTAGCTATACTGTATAACCGTATACGCATTTTCAGTCACCACCGTAGTCGCTGCACTGGCAGCTACTGCAGCAAGCTAGGCGGGTGTCAGCAGCAGCAGCAGCAGCAGCAGCTGCATTAGCTATACTGTATAACCGTATACGCATTTTCAGTCACCACCGTATACGTTTTTTCAGTCACCATGTTCGCATTATCAGTCACCGTATTCGCATTATCAGTCACCATATATACGTTGTGAGTCAACTCGTTTTCTGCCTCGGCCAGAGAACACTGTTTGATGTATTCATTCTGTGCAGAACAGAGACTAGCCTACTCCAACACACATGTCTCTCTCCTTCCCTCCTCCCTCCTTCCCTCCTCCCTCCTTTCCCCGCCCACCACCCTCTCTCCACACCCGCCCAACTACCTGTTCTCCCTGCCACAACAACCCCCTCCTGCGTGTAGTGAGTCTATTGTTGAGTCGACTCAAAATTAGGCTCACAACAATCTCTTTTCCGTGCCGCAACAACCGGGTGTGTTTTGAGTCGAGTAAAAAAGCACACCTTTTGAGTCGACTCAAAACACTCCTGCATGTAGTGAGTCTATTTTTGAGTCGACTCAAAATTAGGCTCACAACAATCTCTTCTCCGTGCCGCAACAACCCCCTCCAGCAATCTACCTCCCGCATCTCACCCCCCCCCCCCCCTCTCTCTCCCCGTCCACCTTTTTCCCTGCAATTACATCCCCCCCACCAATGGCATGTTCTTGTGAACTGATGCTTTCCTGCTTTCAAACTTGCGCCTCGGTTGTGCTTCTCACGCGCGACGCGACCTTGTTTGAGTTGACTCAAACTTGCGTCTGGGTCGTGCATCTCACACCGGACCTTCAGGGCTGTTGACAATCAGGTGGGTGCTGTGCGGTTGCTATTCAGGGCTGTTGACAATCAGGTGGGTGCTGTGCGGTTGCTATTCAGGGCTGTTGACAATCAGGTGGGTGCTGTGCGGTTGCTCAGTAGAACTGAGCAACCAGGAAGATTTTCTAGTTTCGATCCTAGTGTTGCTTTAAGCGTTTTCCAATCTTCAGAATTGCAGCTCTTCCGCTATGAGTGAAGGACCTTCAGGGCTGTTGACAATCAGGTCGGCTGTGCGGTTGCTATTCCCTCACTCTCGATGGCTCTCAGTCGTTCTCTTTTTCGCTCTCCAGTGTTCTTTCCCCTTCAAGGTCTCGTTACTAACAACTGTGTGGGGCTGTTTCGCCCATTACTTTCCGTGCCCATTTCTTTCCCCTCCTCCTGCCCTTTCTGCTGCCCAGTTGTTTGTTGCCACGTGTTCACCTGCCCGAGATGACTCAGCGTCGTACCGTGCCTGGGGTCACTCCACCCTGGTTGGACCGGTGAGCTGAAACAAATGGCAGGGGAAGGAAGCTACAGCTTCGTTATTGGGTGGTTGGGTGGTTGGGTGCTTGGGTGGTTGGGTGGTTGGACTGGTAAGCTGAACCAAAGGAGAGGGGAGGCGAGGGGAGGGAAGGGGAAAGGAGGGGAGGGGAGGGGAGGGGAGGGGAGGGGAGGAGAGGGGAGGGAAGGGGAAAGGAGGGGAGGGGAGGAGAGGGGAGGGAAGGGGAAAGGAGGGGAGGGGAGGAGAGGGGAGGGAAGGGGAAAGGAGGGGAGGGGAGGAGAGGGGAGGGAAGGGGAAAGGAGGGGAGGGGAGGAGAGGGAGGGGAAAGGGGAGGGGAGGGGAGGAGGGGAGGGAAGGAGGGAGGAGGAGGGGAGGCGAAAGGAGGGGGGGGAGAGGGGAGGCGAGAGGGGAGGGGAGGGGAGGAGAGGGGAGGGGAAGGGGGGAAGGGGAAAGGAGGGGAGGGGAGGAGTGGGGAGGGGAGAGGAAGAAAAGGGAAGAGTGCTTGGTTTTGGGTGCTAGGTTGCTTGGACATGCTATGGTGTTATTGCTTGGGGTCACTTCACCCTGGTTGGCTTTTGTAAATTTGATTTAGGGAAAATGGAATGGGAGGGGGGGCTTGGTTGCTGGCCCTGATCACCTCATGTCTGACACCGCACGTGTAGAGGTTTTTTAGTCAACTCAAGAGTCAACTGACTTTTGAGTCGACTCAAAAGTCAACTGTTTGAGTCGACTCAAAAGGGGAATGGGAGGGGGGGCTTGGTTGCTGGCCCTGATCGCCTCTTGTCTGAGAGCGTACGTGTAGAGTTTTGCTCTCAACCCTTTATTGCGAATGTAGTTTCATGAGACGGCTGAAGTGGCGTTTTCCCTGTCACGTGATAGTAAATTGTTTTTTGAGACGTCTCAAAAACAATCCAGTTTCTTTAGACAGCTGATGTGGCGTTCTTCCTGTCCATGTGCTTGTTTCGCCTTGCTATCCCTTCTCTGCCCTTTTCCCTCCATGCCGTGCTCGCCTTCAGTTTGGGGAGATAGTGGCAACAACAGAGCATGAGGAGGCGCTGGTGGTGGGGGAGGTGGATCTGGGGCAGGTTGACACTCGCAGGTGCGTGCAGCTCGATGGCATCGCATGGCATGGTTTGGTGTGGGTGGTAGGGTACAAGAGAGCATGAGGAGGCGCTGGTGGTGGGGGAGGTGGATCTGGGGCAGGTTGACACTCGCAGGTGCGCAGATAGAAGGGTGTAATGCTATGGCATGGCATGGTGCGTGTGGCATGGCATGGTGCGTGTGGCATGGCATGGTGCGTGTGGCATGGCATGGTGCGTGTGGCATGGCATGGTGCGTGTGGCATGGCATGGTGCGTGTGGCATGGCATGGTGCGTGTGGCATGGCATGGTGCGTGTGGCATGGCATGGTGCGTGTGGCATGGCATGGTGCGTGTGGCATGGCATGGTGCGTGTGGCATGGCCTGGTGCGTGTGTCATGGCATGGTGCGTGTGGCATGGCATGGTGCGTGTGGCATGGCATGGTGCGTGTGGCATGGCTTGGTGCGTGTGGCATGGCATGGTGCGTGTGGCATGGCATGGTGCGTGTGGCATGGCATGGTGCGTGTGGCATGGCATGGTGCGTGTGGCATGGCATGGTGCGTGTGGCATGGCATGGTGCGTGTGGCATGGCATGGTGCGTGTGGCATGGCATGGTGCGTGTGGCATGGCATGGTGCGTGTGGCATGGCATGGTGCGTGTGGCATGGCATGGTGCGTGTGGCATGGCATGGTGCGTGTGGCATGGCATGGTGCGTGTGGCATGGCATGGTGCGTGTGGCATGGCATGGTGCGTGTGGCATGGCATGGTGCGTGTGGCATGGCTTGGTGCGTGTGGCATGGCATGGTGCGTGTGGCATGGTGCGTGTGGCATGGCATGGTGCGTGTGGCATGGTGCGTGTGGCATGGCATGGTGCGTGTGGCATGGCATGGTGCGTGTGGCATGGCATGGTGCGTGTGGCATGGCATGGTGCGTGTGGCATGGCATGGTGCGTGTGGCATGGCATGGTGCGTGTGGCATGGCATGGTGCGTGTGGCATGGCATGGTGCGTGTGGCATGGCCTGGTGCGTGTGGCATGGCATGGTGCGTGTGGCATGGCATGGTGCGTGTGGCATGGGTGGGAGGAAACAGAGAGAGCACGAGGAGGCGGTGGTGGTGAGCGAGGTGGGCCTGGCTCAGGTCGCCACTTGCAGGTGCATGCAGGGACAGCAGGTGCTCTCGGTTGCGCGGCATGGTATGGCATGGCATGGCATGGCATGGCATGGCATGGCATGGCATGGCATGCATGGTATGGTATGGTATAGTGTGGTATGGTATGGTATAGTATGGTATGGCATGGTATGGCCTGTCATGGCATGGTGCAAGTGGTGTGGTTTGGCATGGCATGGCATGCTGAAATCGGCATCTCAATGTGCATATGCATCTCTTTCCATGTGTGTGTGCATCTGTTTTCATGTGCATGTGCATGTGCATGTGCATGTGCATGTGCATGTGCATGTGCATGTGCATGTGCATGTGCATGTGCTTGTGCATGTGTATGTGCACAAATCTCTGGCAGACAAAACATGCCCATCAAGGTGCAGCGAAGAGCGGACCTTTACCAACTCATTGACAAAACTGCCTCCGAGTAGTAGGCACACTGAATTACCACCTTGTACCAGCCCAATGACAGGGCCGCCGTTAAGAAAATAGCATAAGTAATCTAAGGTACCATACTTCTCACACCCAGCTTCTTGGTGAGTATAATGCCGAAAACAGTCATTTCATAGTGACAAGGAAAAATTCGGCATCTAAGAGTGCATTCATTGCGGATTAACCTTTTTAGGCATGGTAGGGCATATGCAGCTGTATTGGGAAAACCTCTTTGTGGCTCTAATGACATGGCAGAGACATGAGCATACACAAGTGAGCCCTCCAATAGAACACACGTGAGACATTCTGAACAGCTAAAAGCATACTGAATAAGAGCCTCGCTCTGTTGCCAAATACCTATACTCCGTGTATTTTTCCACAGATACTGAGGGGGAATAGTTCCCCCTTCAGCGTTTGGTACCATGGATGTGCATCAGTAGTGTGGTTCACACCAAGAGCATGCATTGCAGTGGCAAGCGCAGCTGCGTTCAGAAACCTCTCATCTACCTCAACACCATGACCGGCTGTATGATCTCTGCATTCAGGTTCTCCCTATAAGCTGCTTCGAGACTGGACACCCCAAACACGTCCAGCAGCTCCCAGCCGTCGAGCAGCAGTGGCATGCGGATGGGACCGTACACGCGATGCGCATTGAACACCAGCGTGTCGTTGCCCACTGGCACCCCCAGGAAGAAGAGCCCTCCTGGCTTCAACAGGCCCCTGATCTGCGCAGCAGCAATGGGAAGGAGCAGATGCCAGTCAACGGGGAAGCATGAGACATGGGGAGTCGGTGCATGCGTTGAGTATTGAACACCACCAAGCCTTTGTTCACTTGCACACCCGGGAGGTCTTTGCGGATTTGAGGGGCCCCTTGATCTGTGCAGCCACAAGGAGCAGAGATCTCAGACTTGAGGTGCCTGGTTTTGAGGCGCCTGAAAATGTCAGATTTGCGGCGCCTAGTTTTGAGGTGCCTGAAAATGTCAGATTCGCGGCGCCTAGTTTTGAGGTGCCTCAAAATGTCAGATTTGAGGCGTCTCGAGACTAGCCCCTTGATCCTCGCAGTGCTACGAGCGGAGATGTCCTAGGACATGGCAGCGAAGGGGAAATGGCAAAGGACATGGCAGCGAAGGGAAAATGGCAAATGACAAGGCAGCGAAGGGAAAATGGCAAATGACATGGCAGCAAAGAGGAAATGGCAAATGACATGGCAGCGAAAGGGGAATGGCAAATGACATGGCAGCGAAGGGGAAATGGCAAAGGACATGGCAGCGAAGGGGAAATGGCAAGCAAATGGCAGCTAAGGGGAAAGGGCAAATGACATGGCAGCGAAGGGGGAATGGCAAATGACATGGCAGCGAAAGGAAAATGGCAAGCAAATGACATGGCAGCGAAGGTAAGATGGCAAATGACATGGCATTGAAGGGAAACTGGCAAATCACCTTCCAGCAAAGGGAAAATGGCAAGCGAATGACATGGCAGCGAAGGGAAAATGGCTAATGACATGGGGAAGGGAGCAGAAATAAGCAGAAAGGAAACAGTTGGAAGCACGGTATAACAACCCGTACCATGGAAACCGCACCCCTCCCACAGCATCAGACACCTTACCTTCTTCATTCTGAGCCGATCCCCATCCGGTTTTAGCGGACCGCCATATCTCCCCAGCCCATCGTGCTCCAGTGACGAATACGAAGCCACCACATCAAAGGTCTCATCTGAAGCGTCCAGCTCAGCAATATTCCACAGCCTCAATCCGGGATAATCTGCAACCGGTTTGTTGAAATCAACGGTGGTGATCGACCCAGCTTTATACGCCAAGAGAATACCCTCTAGCCAAGGGGTTTGGCTCCCTATCACCAGCACCGATTTCCCTTCTATTGGGTACTTATCCAATGCCTCGTAAAAGCTTAGGGTTGCATTCTCGCCATACTTATAAACTCGCGGGGACCGCGCCTCTGCCTGTCTCTTTTTCCGGTCGATTTGCGCGGTCGGCCAGACGATCGCCTTAGCTCCAGAGTCACCCATATCCATACTGTGGAAATGTTCAACGGTTTGGATCGAGCCGTTGACAGTGAACTCATGGCGGACGGACGGTCGGATGTACGTCCAGGGGATGGGTCCCTGGAGGCCGTAGTCCTGAATGTGGAATCTCGAGGATTTTTTGGAGTCTTGTTGGTTACCAGAAGTGATAGTACAGTCGTCAGATGGTCGGCGATTACTGCCATTCCAAGAAGCCGAGTCTGCATGGTGAAAAGGCGATTGTATGAGTTGTACAAAGAAACAAGGATGGGAGGGATAAACGTGATGAGAGGGATATACGTGATGAGACGAAACGTGATATGAGAATGCTGGCTGGAAACATGTCATAATTCACAAAAAATCCCAAGGGAATTCAGTAACGGGTTGCTCTCCGCGTTGACAATGGGGTTACTCGAAAGAAATTCGTGATGGTATAATCAACATGAACGTGGTGACGTCCTAGAATATTGAGAGAGAGAGAAAAAAAGGTACCGGAAAGAAGAGCGACGCGGGTGTCAGGGCTTACAGAACTGGCTTGTGATTATAACGGCGGCGATCAGGACAGCTGACACGATTAGCGCTTGCTGCCAGTTCACCACTTTCGCCATACGCTCTGCTGCAGCTAGCATGGTGAATGGCTGTTACTGATGTACTTTCGATGTATATATCGCTCCGATAATTTACCATTGGTAGCCTCGAACCTATGTGTGCTTTTGTCGACTCAAAGAGCACGAGTCTCACAAAAAAATCGAAAGGACTTGGAAACTCGAACCGGGACGAAGACTGCTGCAATGCTGCAACGTTGTGAAACGCAGCAGTAAAAAGTCTCGCTGTTGACAACTCTACTCATCTGACAAAGATGAGTCACATCAAACTACATATTCGTCTGAGAAGCTCTCCTTGCTTTGTTCCAGGTTTCTGCATCCCGAATTAAATATCGTGATCATCGATCGCACTGTCTGTCTCTCCTGATCACCCGCAGACTACGCCGGGGGACTCGCTCAGCTATAACTAATGGCCGCGAGGGGGATGGAGATGCCAACCCCTGTATTGGCTCAGCTTTGCTTGTATGGCAACAATGATAGTCAGGGCGTGTCACCTCCGAATTCGAACAAGCTCATGTCGAACAGGTGAAACGTTACACACTTCGTCACGCCACGTTGAGGTTTTCGCGAATTCGCCAGTCAAAAGTGTCGCTTATCCGAACAGCACTGTCACATCTCGCACGTTGCTCGTTACGCTTCACGTTCAAACAGTGCTGTTCGAACGCTCCCAACTCACCGGGAAACGTCCCTAGACGTATGCTAAGGGCGTGTGTGATTCTGGAAATTGGCCAAGTTTACATTTTTTTGATCGAATGTAGCATTTGATCGAATGTAGCATTTGAACTCGAGTGTAACAGTGTTCGACTTCCGCTGAACGTGAAGTTTGAACCACGCAAAACATTTTCAGGTAAATCAAATCACATACCCGAGGTCGAATTTGAATGTTCGACCTTATAGGGGGTGCGTCGAGCCGCTAGTAGGGATGTCGGTTACCAGGTATAACTCCGTAGACATCGAGCCACGTCAACATACTGACTGTGGTTTTCGGCGGAGGTTTTATTGCGTCGCAGGATTTCGCCAAATTCGCCACTCGTCGTGCGTGCGCAAAACAACACACGTTCGGCTTACTGTACGCGCCCACATTTATGCATTGACTCGAGTCGAGTTCGGAAAAGTTGGCTCGCACTTGCCAAGTGTTCAAAGGAATGACTTTCGTCACACGGCTTTCGCGAAATTGACGAAACTAGTAACCAGACAAAGTTCGACCTGTTTTTCGAACCTAGATTAAAATCATACACGCCCTAATGTATGCGTCGATTGAATGCGGTGGGGGGATGCTCCGCGTCACACTATGGCTCGCTTACAGTCTGCGTAAATTCTGTACATGTTTAACTTCAGAACCTGGAATGGAATCGTATTTTCAAAGGAAACAGTTACCCTATTCCCATCCAACACCTGCCACACAATCTGTAAAACCAAGACCAAGCATAATGCATCATGTCACATGATACAGTATCCTAGTGACTCACACGAGTACTAGATGTGCAGTTATAAGTAAATATTACAAATACTTATCCGGCATTGATACTGCTAAATAACTCGTGCGATCACTCAGCAAGCATAGTACTCGCCTCTGGTAAAGAGCCTCAGTCTACGGATACGAATACCTGGAGTTATTACAACAATTTTTAGAGTCAGGCCTGCTTCGGTAATTGCCCGTGGAGAGCGTGCAGAGAAAGAGATTCCCCTTCAGCGTTTGATAGCTGTGCCTTATAGTTAGGTTTACTGTGGCAAGAGCATGCCTTGGTGCGGCAAACGTATACATCACTGCTCTCAGTAACCTCTACCTCAACACCATGACCGGCTGTATGATGTCCGCATTCAGGTTCTCCCTATAAGCTGCTTCGAGACTGGACACCCCAAACACGTCCAGCAGCTTCCATCCCTCGAGCAGCAGCGGCATGCGGATGGGACCGTACACGCGATGTGCATTGAACACCAGCGTGTCGTTGCCCACTGGCACCCCCAGCAGGAAGAGCCCGCCTGGCTTAAGCAGGCCCCTGATCTGCGCAGCAGTGAAAGTAAGGGCGGGAGGCCAGCGATTGGCAATGCATGGGATCTGAGAAGATGGTACATGCGTTGAGTAATGAACACCAGCGCGTCGTTGCTCACTGGGACACCTGGGAGGAAGGGGCCTCGCAGATTCGTAAGGCCCTTGATCTGCAACCCAGAGATTGAGAGGTCTCAGGAAAGGACATGGGAGCACCTGAGGTATGGGACGTCTCAATTAACCCAGAGAGTTGACACTCTCTGAGGATGTGGCAGCAAAGTGGAAATGCCTGACATGCGGAGCATCGGGTTTTGGGACGTCTCAACACTCTGAGGACATGCCAACGAGGGGAAAATGTCAAAGGGCATGGGAACACATGGCTTGGGGGGAATGGCAGGGCGAGGTGGGGACATTTGAGAACATGGCAGCGAAGGGTAAGACGTAGAATGAAGTGAGAGGAGATGGCTTACTAGGGGTATCGGGACATGGTGAGGGCACGCACACATCAGCTGACGCAAACACGTGGCAGGATGCAACAAATATTAGCAGAGAGTAAACAGGTGGGAAGCACGGTTAAACAACCCGTACCATGGAAACCGCACCCCGCCCACGGCATCTAACACCTCAGCGAACTCACCTTCATCATTCTGAGCCGATCCCATCTGACGTATGTATACGGTACCTTGACTCAACTCAAATAACTCCGGCTCAGCTTGAACTGTGTACACTCAGCCTATGCCTGCTTGTTCCTAGTTCCTGAATCCCGCGATCACGGATTGAGCTGGACAGCAGCTGAGAGTGCTGGAACAGAATTCTCAGGGCGTGGAAGCGAGAGTGTACTGGCGGGAGTCAAAGAAGAGAGAGACGAGCTCACCAATCACATGGCGGCGATCACGGCAATGGAGATGACAGTCAGCGCCGTGATTGGTTCGTGGCGGCCCGCTGCTGTAGAGCTTGTCAGATTCAGCATCCCGCAAAATCCGCTTATTGGATAAAGAGGGCGCGTCCTGCTTATTGATGCTGGCCAGTTCTGTTTCCGTTCCGTTTCCCCTCGTTTCCACGTGCCCTCGGAATATCGCTTTTCTGTTGCGTTTCAACGCGTGTCAGGGAACCCGACCTGAGCGCGAAGGTGTTGGGGGTGTTTTGCGTGGCACCATACAACAGATAACCCCCAAGTACAGTACATGTGCTAACACAAACGGCTACTGATTACACATACGTTTTTAATCAAATTCCTACACCATACCACCTTCCAGATATGCAGTACCTCCCCAGCTTCACCTGCACCGGCTTTCCGATCTCTGCTGCTTCTCTCTCTTTCTCTACACCCAGTGCTACCAGCAAGAACCCCTGAGTACCACGGTCGGATTCAACTGTCCACTGTGGTACGAGGAAGGCACCACTGACAGCTCCTGCCCTGCTTGCTGCCCCCTAGCTTCAACTGCACCGGCTTTTGGTTGCTGCTGCCCCTCACTCTTTTTCACCACCGTCTGCACCCCTTAATACTTCGTAATACCCCTTAGTACCCCCTTGTAACCACGGTAGGGTCCAGCTGTCCGCTGTGGTACGATGAAGGCACAACTGACAGCTCCTGCCCGGCGCGCCACTCCTCCCCTGGCTTCAGCTGCACCGGCTTCTCGATTGCTGCTGCCTCCACACACACAAACCGCTTGTACTCGCCCTCCCCCATGTCGCTCATGGCCCTTGCCTTCTTCTCCCAGGGATTCCACACCACTGTGGATTGACGAGGGGGAAAGGGTGGGGAGGAGAGCAGAGCGGAGCATGAGCAACACACGACACACACTGTAACAAAGCGCTTGTACTCCCCCTCCCCTCCCCCATGTCGCTCATGGCCCTTGCCTTCTTCTCCCAGGGGCTCCATACGACTGTGAGCAGGGGAGAACGGAGGGGTGAGGGGTGAGGGGTGAGGGGTGAGGGGGAGAGAGCGGGTAACACGAGGATAGTGGAACACGAGCAACGCACGACTCACACAAACCGCTTGTACTCTCCCTCCCCCATGTCGCTCATGGCCCTTGCCTACTTTTCCCATGGATTCCACACCACTGGGTTGGGGACCAGGGAGCGAATGGGAGAGAAGAGGCTTAATCCACTCTCACACTGCAAATAGGTAAGTGAGGCATGCGTCAAGGAACCCATCTATTGCTGCAACACTAATCATACCCATTACATTGCAATTCACTGGATTGTGTACAATGCTGGATTAGGATGTCACTGGGATGATTTGAATGGAAATAAGGGACAAATGAGACAAATGATACCTGCATCGAGGAATCCGTGCTTCTTGATGGTTATTTGACATCTCCAGCGCGCAGCAGGTATAAGAGACAAGTGCTAATGATACCTGCATCGAGGAATCCGTCCTTCTTGACGAGGTACGTCTTCTTTATTGCGTGGTCCACTATAGCAACCTTTGCTGGAGTGTTCAGGTATATTCTGTCAAACTGCAAACGCAAAACACAAGCCAGAGGAGGACGTAGCAAGCACGCACATGGAGAAATATTGGACTTGGACATGGAGACTTGAAGTGTCCAAGTCTCTCGTGTGACAATCTCCTGCAATAGCATCTCGAGTCAAACCTCTGGGCCATCCATCCACTCCCATTGCCTTTCACATCAAAAGGACAATCGCTTCACCTTTGACCCCAAGGTGAGAGCCAACAATCGCTTCACCTTTGACCCCAAGGTGAGAGCCAACAATCGCTTCAGCTTTGACCCCAAGGTGAGAGCCAACAATCGCTTGCTTGCGCGTTCTGCTACCTCTCACCTCCGGTTCGAAGGTGATTGAGTCCCCTTGGTCACCTTTGGAGTCTCCATGACCTTAATCCGTCTTGAGTGCATCCAGCCTGTCTCAGCGGCCTGGCTGCCACTCGCAAAAGGTTGCGCAACCATTTAGGCCACTCACCTCCGAGTCAAACGTAATGGATTCCCCTTGGTCCGTCACTCTCTTGAGAGCATCCAACCTGCCTTGACTGCCCCACTGCACTCTCTCTCTC